ATATTTTACATATTCTATAAATTCTACCGAATGTTATTCTACCGAATGTTTGGCGTTAATATGTTTGTAGTTCGTTTTTTCAATTTTTCTCACTAAAGTTTTTTGGTGAACGTTTAGTTCATTAAAATTCAAAATAAACTTATTTTCCGAATTCATGCTGCAAATAAGGCCATATTTCGATTCCGAATGAATCATCATCAGTGCTTTCTGCTGTTAATATAGGAAAATATTGACTTTGTCAAAATGAATTTAGATGGAGATTGACTTTGTCAAAGTGAATTTAGATGGAAATTAGGTGCCAGGTTTCTTTATTGGCTGGTCATCTTCTTTGGTCTCCTTTGGTCTAGCATTGTAAATAGTGATAAAGATGAATATGATGCTATCGATGAACAATTTTTTTCTCTGATTTGAGTGCACACCATCTGAAAAGTTTCCATTGGATCCTAAAAACTTACAAACCAAAAATAAGACAAATCAAATTAAATTTAGAGGTTGCTCATGCATCTCAAAATTATATAAAAATGTGATAATTCATTATTTAGAAACCAAATACAAATGTAACTGGAAATATCAAAAGTTGGTTACTTATTTAATTCAAAACATAGATATTAGATATTTCAAAATGCATTATTATTATAAAATATTCTATGGTCACCATATTTGTTGTCAGCAAACAGTAAAATAGGATAAATAACTGCATTACATATGCGTATGTACCATCATTATCGTCATAATCAACATCATTATACAGCGCAATTCGAACATTTCAGCGTAATCAACAATAATAATAATGTGGACACGGCTTTTTATTTAGTCAAAAATGAACAAACGATATAATAAAATAAATTGAAATCGAGTAAAAATTAATTAAATTTGTAGTTCTATTTTTCGTCATTCAATACGAATGAGTAAAAAAATTGTTAGTTTTTAAAAATAGGGTTCATCGGTATTTCTATCACAATATATTGAATATGATGGTGATAAAGCAAAATTTATTAAATTCTTTCTAAAAAATGTTCAGACCAAACAAAATTGACCAGTGATAAATTAAAATAAAAGTTTTATAAAATTCTAATGTAGAATTCTGAAAGTTCTTATTTCAAAGATGATTTTATTCGCTCTTTAAATTTTGTTGAAGTTTCGTAGTCTAAGCTTTTTTTAAATCTTTGATTCTAGCATGTCTCTTCCTTCTCAGATTAAAAGTGTTGCTAGAAGTTCTTACTTTCATCTACGTAGAATTGGTAGAACACCCAGGTTTACGATCGTCTTCTTGTTCTCACTTTTTCTTAACTCGTGTTAAACACTCTTTTGCTAAATCTGCATTTGCTTTTTCTGGCCATTTTCCCTGGAACTCTCTACCTTCTTCTCTGACTACTTCTCCATCACTTACAAAGTTCAGAGCGATTTTAAGACTTATCTGCTGCAAAATTCATTGAGGAGCGCTGTTGAACATAGCGAAAATAGCGCTTTGTAAAATAATTAATTTTGAAGATTTTGATTATATTTGTTAATTTTGAATTCTTTTGTTTCATGACATACTGTTAATTTTAGAATTTTGACAATGTCATTATGGATCAGCGCTACGCTATATCTAGTCGAAATGATTTAAAAAACGTTGACACTGAATAAAAGTCTTTACAATTCAGATCTGCAAATATGGAGTCCTACGAACTTGCGCTTTTTTAAGATTGTCTAAAATTATTGAATCTTATCGTGCCAATTTTATTTAATATCTTTTCAAGACAGTAACGGAGCTGCAATTGAACAGCATATGTTTATTGGTTTGTCGAAAGTTACATTGTGATTTAAACGCCTTTACCCATCTCACAAGATTGAAATTTGTAAGGAGTTGTTGAATAATACCTTTCCTAACAAAATTAAAAAAAACGTCAATAGTAAGACCGTAGATCTTGAGCAGCGAACATATGTTCTCTCATAGTGTTTTTAACACTATCTCTTGGAAATTTACCGATGTTAAATGGGCGAACTGCGTTTCTTGCTGATGGAACGACAAATTCTTGTATCTTTATAGTCTGGGAGCATGTTGTCTATTTTTGTTTAATCATTAAATGATTCATGATAGTGCAAATAACAATAGTAAGCTGCAAAGCTTGAAAAATAATTTCATTCCAAACAGAAGAAGAGAACAAATAGTATATTGCTTATGCTTGTCAACTCTTGTTCAATAAAACATTTCATAAATAAATTAGGAAAATTTATTTTTTGTGGTAAAAAGCCTGACCGTGATTTTTGTTAAAAATTACAAATTTGATAAATTAAGGTGAGGATTTATTATATATTATCATATTTATATTTTTTTTACATTCATGGACATTTATTCAAAACCGAACTTATACGAGAATCAGCACGTACTCACTTAACACAAAAGCTGATTTTTAGGAAGGGTCTGAAATAAAACTTTGTTCAACTATTTTTAAATCTGTAGTATCCATTTATAAATTATATATTTCAATAAAAACTATTTGCAAAATTGATTGATTGAACGACATATTATGAAATGGTTTCCTTCAATTATTATAACACCAAATATGTCAAATTTATTATGACTCACTGCATCATAGCTTTAGTTTTTCTAGTAGGGTCATCTGGTCTGAAATGCTTATATTCTTCCACATCTTTTTCCATTGAAAGCAACTGAGATTGTAACTTGTTACGAAGATTAGGTAAAGTATTTCTAATGTGATTTGTTAATTGCTGATTCAAAGTTCTTTGTAAATAGGATGTCCCCATTCTATCTGCCATGTGTCTGTAATAATATTCAAAGTTTTAATTTTAAATGAAATTAGGTAGATTATTTTTATTATTATGTTATTCACTCTAATGACATTTCTCAGAGGATAGTATTGTGATTAAATGCTTTGCTTAACTCTGTTATGAAATTTTTTTAGGGAACAATTTGCTTCAATCTTGTCTGAAGATCATTCCATACCTTGGGCAGAGCAACCTGCATACATCTGTCACCGGGTTTTGTCCTGGTCCTAGGAATTATCATAATTTTTGACAAAACCGAACGCAATGCATGTCCCACATCAACTTCAGTTCTTTTGCAAAAAACCTCCTTCAGATATTCTGGGCCACCACCATTTACGCAACTATGAGCCACCACGGCCATCTTAAATCGTATACGTTCCCTGATCGGTAGCCAGTGGAGACTTTCTAACCACTTTGTAATGTGATCACTTCAAACGATCAATAATACACCTAATTAAACCACAAAAAATAGCTTGAGCATCTTTTACCGGGCCTGCAGAATAGATTTGAAGGTCATCCGCATACATGTGAACCCCCAGACCATGATCATAAATCAAAGTCGGTAAACCAGACACGTACATGAGAAATAATATCGGACCCAGTACCAATCCCTGTGGTACACTCGTTTGCATTTCCATCTCATCAGACACTAATCCACCAAAACATACTTCTTGTGCACGAACCGTCAAATATAAAGCAAACCAGTCAAACACCACACCACCAATACCAAAAGTGACCGATAATCTTTTTAAAAGCACCGCATGATCAACCGTGCCAAATGCAGAACTGAGATCCAAAAGCGCCAACAATACCACATTACCATTATCAACTTTTTTTACTATATCACCAAATATCTTTAGGAGAGCAGTTTCCGTATATGAACCAGGTCTGTAAGCCGACTGAACCGACGGCAAGAGTCTATGGATGGATAAATGACCCAGCAAACGAGTCAGCACTAGACGTTCAAAGACATTTGAAACAAAATGTAGATTAGAAACAGGTCTATAATTATTGCTTTCGTTTTTATCCAGACCATTTTTCTTCAGCAGCGGGGTGATAATGGCTGACTTCAGTCCTCGTGAAAATACACCAGTTTTGAATGATGAATTTATCTATAGAGAGAAAAATGGCACCAAACAATCCATGAATTTTATCAAAATTTTAGTATGGATCGGATCCAAGGCACACACTGTTGTTTTAGATCTCACAAATGCTGATTTAACCTTATCTTCCGTACACATATCAAACTCCAAAAACTTGTCACACTGACTGATTGCGTGCTCTGGATCGTCTTGTAATGTTTCTTCCCTGATAGCTTTTATCTTATTCACAAAAAACCTCATCATATCATCAGCCGTCAACGATGAACACTCGGTTGGTTGTTGCTCACTGCCCAGCAGACGATTCAACGAATTTCATAAATTTTTTTGGTTACGTCTATTATTGGCAACCTTACTCATCCAGAATGATCGCATTTTCATATCATAAAGATCATGGAGTTCGGTTAATTGTTTTCTCCAAAATTCCATGTCGGAAGTAGTCCGAGTTTGTTTGAAAATTCTCTCCCATCGCCTTGCACAACGTCTTTCATGGAAACAACTGTCATCAAACCATGGAGCAGATTTCTTTTTACCACCAGCGACCTTATTTAAAGGAGCCAAATGCTCTGTAATGTCGGAAAATGTTGATGTATATATTTCACAGAAATCATCTTGGGATGCTGAGACCAAGTTCTTAAGATTTGAGCATAGTGGAGACGACTTCAGCATTGACATTACATCTGAGTCCTTGACTCTTCTCCAATCGCGGTAGTATCTGACGTCATCATCATCTTTAATACACCCCTGCATCGTCATATGAACTCTGAAACTACCAAAAAATGGTCTGATACCACCGGCGGCTGCACCCTTACCTCTAAGACTGTCATATTACTATTAACCAAAATGTTGCCCGACACGTGGGTTGGTGAATTAACCAGTTGAACCAGACCAAAGAAGGAAACTAGCTCCATAAAGTTGGATGCTATTTGATTGTCATTATCGTTTATGTGGATATTGAAATCCCCTGAAATCAATAGACTCTGTCCTCTTAGGCACACCATGAACAACAAATGGGAAAATTCATCTATAAATCGTTATCCCGGAGCAACTGATCCTGGTCGGTAGATTGCCACATAGAGCATTTGAGTTGATCTTATTTTAATTAAACAGGCTAGTGCTTCAAATGTTTCAGATCGACAGCCGAGTTCATAATGCTTCAACTTGAAATTTACTTCATTATAAATTATAGCCAAACCGTCACCTCTTCTCACCTGGCCGTTTAAATCTGTGCGTGGTGCATCCAATCGTGAAGACGAGTAGGGAATGCACATCTACAGTGCATAGTCATCGTGAGATTTATGCCAGGTTTTAGTAAGTATCAACATATCTAGTTTATCATCATCAATAGTTGAAATATTCATGGCCTTCCCACATACGGACTTGGAATTTAGAAGGCCGACCTTTAAGCGGCGACAGTAATTGTTGAAATTTTTCTCATCAATTAAGTGATTCTGTTTGGTTCTCCAGATGCCGTTCCTGAATAATCTACCCCTCACCACACGTTCAACTTTACCACCAGTGTTGCAGGATACCAAAAAATTCCTTGAATACGAGATAAAAATCATTTTACCTTATTACACCAACAACTAGAAAACCATTTCAAAAACAACAAACTAATTACAATAATTATCATTAAAAATTACAGAGTAAAATTATGATATTACACCATTTACATTCCCAAAGTTAGATAAATTTAAGCAAACTATGATACAAAAATACAAGTATATTACAACTAATATTCAGCAAAACTGAGTTTCGATTTCCAGCGAAAAAGCATTTAATTTTTTCAAAACAACACGACAAGCGTGAAGCCAGCAAGATTCGTTTTAGATAAGGATTTTAATATTACTTCTGATAAGCAAACTTTAAAATTTGAGAAAATATTATAACTTGGAATACATATCAAACTGAAAATTAGCTAAACGTTATCATGGCATAAAAATAAAGACTAGCATTAATAACAAATGCAATAACAGAATATTAACCTGTACGATGGATGACTTAGGAAAAACTTTTTTTCTGCAGCTAAAGCTGATCTTATGTCTTTCCTACCTTCTATATCTTTTTGACTCCTATTCACAACTCCAATATAACCTGGATGTTTATTGTGAAGTAAACAGATTGGCATGACAATGTTGTGTTTGAAAAAAACTTGAAAACACTTTAAAGAAATGCAAATTTTGAATTTTAACAAATACACTTAATAGAAAAAAAACATTAAAAGAAAGGGAAGCAGAGGTATTCAATTACGTAAGTCCAAAAGTTTGCAGTAAACGGTTTGTTTTAATGAAACGCAATATTTTTAATTTTGAGCAAAACTGTTAAAAAATTTGAAATTGTGAAATTTATTCCTTCGTGTAATTTGTGTAATTAATATAAAGTACAAAATGGAAATAGTTGTTAAAAGTATGTTATCACTTTAGTACTCTAACAACACAACATGAGACCTTGAAAATTATAAACAAAAATATAACAAAAATAAAATCAATGCTTTAAAATCTTTAATACAGAAGTATTAACACATGCAATAACAAATTGACAAAGTTGAAAAACTTTTGAAAAAAACAATAATGTGAAAAATAAAAAAAGGCATCACCAAAGAATATTTAAAAACACCTCTTCTTAATGGTAACAATCGATTTTCGAGAATATCTCTGGCGTCTGTACCTTCATCCATTAAATCTAGTTTTGTTATTACACCAATTGTTCTGAGACCTGGTAATATTAATAATTACCTTGAAATTATAAAAAGAAACATTTACAAAGTACAAAACAAAAAGATTTTTATATTTTATCACATTATTTATGCGCTTCTTAATACCAGTTGCTTCGGGTAGATATGACTTTTTACCTGAGAAGTTAAGTCCGATTTCTAGAAAAAACTGAGGGAAAAAACCCCCACAAAAATTCTTGCATGGTAGTTAGGATGTCCCGTCGATATAAGGAAAAATTTTTTTGAGTTAAAACATTGGAATGGGTATAAAAATTGGAATTATTTTGAAGATTACGAAAATGATAGAAAAAACTGAATTTGCATGCCATCTTGAGGATTCCACCCTTTTTAAAACTTTTGTATATTTAATGATTTTACAGACCTAAACTGAATGTATAAAATAACAACAAAAAATCAAATTTCAAGGGTGTTTCTGTTGAATTCAATAAAATGATTCACAAGAATACAAAATAAACAAAACAAACTTTACAACCAGCCATAAAAATTAAGGATTTATATCTTTCAAGTTCGAACTATTGTATTTTATGATCGATAAACATGATCCGGCAAGTAAACAAGCGTTTTGTATAGTTTGAACAGCTTTTGTCATATATTCAAGTTTAAATATATTTTTAAAATTTACGATAAATTTTGAAAAAAAAAATTTGGGACACCATAATAGTAGTAATCTAATGGCTCATTAATTACCAACGTTCGTCGTCAAGCAACTGAAAGCATCTATAGGCAACTTATTATTCAAAAATCATTTTATATAATCGAACAGGTTATGAATGTTTTAGAGGCCATTGAGTTAGAGAAAGTCACATCGTTTCAATATCTAGGAGATGTTCTAGATTGTACTGTAACAGCTTATGCTGCCGTTCGAGCACGCATACGTGAAGCCTGGAATAAATGGCATCTCCTTGCCTCTATATTGCCACTACGATTATGACTTTATAAATCTGTGATACGTCCGGTCTTGTTATATGGTGCAGAAACATGGCCAATGACAACCAAACTGTAACAACCACTTCAACGAACCGACATGAAAATGCTTCGATGGATGCAACGAATTAGTCTGAAGGACCACATCAAATCTACCGAAATCCTGCGTCGTGCTGGTTTAGATGATATCAAGGACGGCAACACCGTCTGCGGTGGTTTGGTCATGTCAAACAAAGTAAAAACAGTGCCATAACTTCTCTTGCAGATGTTGAAGTACCTGGCACACGTCCAAAAGGCCGTCCAAAGTAGTTCTGGTCGCAAACAATCGAGCAAGTCATGAAAGCTCTAAATTTAAATGAAATGGATACAACTGATCGTCTAATTTGGCGCAAAAAATTGTTGGCAAAGAAAACAAGGTCCTACCTCGGGAAACTGGGTCTCTGGACGCTAAACGAAGATTGATTGATTGCACGGGTTAACTATTAACTAATAGCACGCAGTCACGCTCATCGCAGGCCAACTAACAAACGAGCTGCGGTAAACAACTCCAAACCCTTTTTTTACATCAATCGCTGCTGCTAAAACCAATCAACTCGACTTATGAGTTTATAATATATTCACCACTGAGAATTTTTGCACATTGTGCGCAGGTAACTAAAGTTTTCGCCCGAACGATGTTTCACCCGAATGATGATTCTCTCAAACAATGATGGAATATTCGCCCGATTACATTTTCGCCCGAAAATAAAAAAAATAATGTTTTGGATGATTCGACCGATCATTGGAATATTCGCCCGATCATTGAAAATAATACTTTGAGTTGTTTATTTGATCATAAGAATGTTTTTCGTAACAATAATTTTTTCAGGTTGATTTTGGTAGAGGTTTATGTTCGGTTACAACAAACATAATGCAAAGTTTTATAACAATCATCATTCATTAGTTTCAGCTTTTGGTGTGTTAGTTCAAAGTAATTAAGATAATAACATCATTTAAATGAGCATAACAAACAAAATTGTTTTAGTTTTAAATCATTTTGTTGTTAATGTATTTATGATGTGTTATAAAAGTTAATATATGAAAATATGATACGCCAAATCATAAAAAAAGATACTATTTAAAAATGTTTAATTTAAAATAAAAATTATATATATATATATATATATATATATATATTTCGGAACGAGGTTTTCGGAACGAGGTATATATATATATATATATATATATATATATATATATATATATATATATATATATATATATATATATATATATATATAATTGAAATTTATTAAAAATAAAATGATTGTCCAATTGTCCCGATTCATATAGCAGTTAGGCCTATTTCGATCTTGTGCATATATATATATAAATATATATAAATAAATAAATAAATATATATATATATATATATATATATATATATGTTGGTAATAGACCATAATTTTTACAATATTTATATAAATTCTACCGAATGTTTGGCTTTAATATGTCTGTAGTTCGTTTTTTCAATTTTTCTCACTAATGTTTTTTGGTGAACGTTTAGTTTATTTAGTTTATTAAAATTCAAATTAAACTTATTTTACGAATTCATGCTGCAAATAAGACCATATTTCGAATCCGAATGAATCATCATCAGTGCTTTCTGCTGTTTATATAGGGAAATATTGACTTTGTCAAAATATTGACTTTGCATGAATTCGGAAAATAAGTTTATTTTGAATCTTGACATGACCAAACCACCGCAGACGGTGTTGCGGCATTCGTCCTTTATATCATCTAAACCAGCACGACACAGGATTTTGGTCGATTTGATGTGGTCCTTCAGACTAATTCATTGCATCCATCGGAGAATTTTCATGTCGGTTCGTTGAAGTTGTTGTTCCAGTTTGGTTGTCATTGGCCAATTAACATAAAATTCAATTTGTTTTTAATGCATGTTAATATTAGAAGTCTGGCCTCTCATGCTGGTGATCTATCCTTGTTAATTAACAATCTGCAGGTAAATGTTAAAATCCCTTTGATAATTGCCTTAAGTGAAACATGGATGAATAATGACATTTAAACAATTATATTCTGTCTGGTCTTTTTTTTGTCAAATAAATTTGGGAAAAAAATTAAATGAGGAAATATTAAATTATAATGCAGATCAATTAATATATAGTTCGAAATTTTTGATTAACTTTATACATTAAACCTAAAATTGTGTTACGTTGCGTTGATATGCAGATCACAACAAAAATTATTCTTAATAACAAACTGAGAAATTTAGGCTCTAGAAATTTTGCATGCGTTCATTTTAAAATTGAGATTATTTAATTGATTGTTGAGAATTTTTGGCCCGAATACATAGTCTTACTTTAATTTATAATTAATTTATTTGCAGCAAACCAGTCAGCGAGACTTTGTAATTTATCATTCATTAAGTTGACTTCGTCTGATAAATTTTTTGATGAAAAAAAAAACGTTGGTGTCGTCTGCGAAGAAGAGAAAATTGGCTTCGTTGTCGGTTCGTTGAAGTTGTTGTTACAGTTTGGTTGTCATTGGCCATGTTTCCGTACCATATAACAAGACCGGACGTATCACTGACTTATAAAGTCTTGATCGTAGTTGTAGTGGGATGTAACGCCGCATCAATATAGAGGCAAGGAGATGCCATTTATTTCAGGCTGCACGTATGCGTGCTCGAACGGCAGCTTCAGCTGTTCCAGTACAATCCAGAACTGCCCCTAGATATTGAAACGATGTGACTTTCTCTACCTTAATGGCTTCAAAAACAGTGCTATTTCGAATTAGTTGTTGTGGATTAGTGCAAGCAGGACAAACAAAATTGGACACTTTAGATAAAGCACCAATTATTTTTGAACAACGTTTGTGACACCACTGGTTACACTGCTGACACTTGATTGAATTGTTACCTACACCAGCTTTACAAACTGAACAGGGCCATCGTCCGGTAGCTGTGGATTGGATGGGCTCACCAGTGTTCATTGCTTTGGTTTTGCTGATGTTGACTTTGAATTCATGATCGGCGAGTCTGGTGTTCCAATCTTCAAACATCTGTGCTGCATTCTGCTCAGACCTGGCTGTTAAAACGATATCATCAGCATATACTAGATTCCAAATGTCATCAGTGGGTATCGGTTTTGTGATTTCTTCCATCACAGTTATAAATAACAGTGGACTGAGAATCGAGCCTTAGTGAACTCCAACGCCGATGTCAAATGCATCTGTGTTTCCAACATTTGTGCTGACGAGAGTCTTAGTATTCGTATACATTTCCATCACAAGTCGAACAAGATATTCTGGAATGAGTTGTCGACGTAGACTCCACCTGATTGCTTCACGGGGAACTCGATCAAATGCTTTTTCAAGGTCGATAAAAATGTGTGATAGTTGTTGATGCTTTGCGAGGTACTTCTATTGCAGTTGCCGAAGGATGTGATTTGCATCAATTATTGATTTCCCCGCTAGAAAACCAAATTGATAATTTCCGATTCTGATGCACGACGTTAATCTCTTTCAATGATTTTCTCGACAATTTTCAGGGAGTGTTCTAACAGACGTATACCCCGATATGATGAACAGTTCAATGGATCACTTTTGCCTTTGTATAGCGGAACTGTCATGCTATAGTTCCATTCAGTCGGCATTGAGCAATTTCTCCAGATTTCACGGCAAAGTTGTAATAACGTTTGGATACCTGCAGTACAAGATGTTTTGATAATGTCATTTGTGTGAGTCCAGAGGGTCCTGCTGCCTTTCCATCCTTCATAGTTTTCACAGCTTCTGTAAGCTCCTCTACAGTGACGTCTAGAATCAGACTTTAGATGGGTGGAGCGTCAAAGTTAACATTGATGGGATTTCTTTCGTTTAACAGATGGTTGAGGTATTCTTTCCACTGTAGCTTGATCTCATCTTGTTCAAGAACCATCTCATTTTTGTCATTTTTAATACATGAGGCACCAAGTATGTCTTTTTTCGTACGCTTTGCTTATTTTGCTATACGATACAGAGATTTGATTTGTTCACCTTTGCTTTTAGTGAGCCACTTTCTGCACTGATCTGTCCGAGCCAGTGCAACTTGACGTCTTGCATAGTTGTTCTTCTCACGGAATATTTTATGGTCATCAACAGACTTTGATTTTTGCCATTGCCTGTATGCAGCTTTCTTTTCAGCTATTGCATTTTGTACACTGTCATTCCACCACCAAGTGTCACGTTCATGCTGACGTTTTATACCAGTTTTCCCACAAACTGTAGTTGCAGCGCTCATCAAAACGGTTTTGTATGTACTCCAATCTGTACTGGCTTGCGATTGGTGGTCTAACTGTGTGGCGACAATCTGTTGAAATTTTTCTCGATGAATATTACTCTTCAGCTTCCACGTTTTGATTCTCCGAGGCATTTGTTTAGACTTATGTTTTGACAGTTCGACAACCAGGTCTGCCACAAGGAGTCTATGTTTGGGCGACACATAATTCGCCAGATATAACTTTGACGTTTTTGAACAGCCTTCGGTGTGGTTGCTTGACAGCAATGAAATCAATTTGCGTGGCTGATGGTACACTTTTGTATGTTATGAGATGTTCCAACCTCTTTCTAAAATATGTATTCAGTAAAAAAAACCCGTGACTTTCAGCAAACTCAAAGATGCGGTTGCCATCTTCATTCCGTTTTCCATGGCCAAAACCGCCATGTACGTTGTCAAAACCATCTGTTTTCTCTCCAACGTGGCCATTGAGATTGTTTAAGATCGTTTCAATCAAGATTAAGATTTTGGTATTGTTGAGATGGTGTCAGAGAATGCAGTCCAGAAGTCATTTTTCATCTCTTCTGATTCGCCTGTCTGTGGTGCGTATGCAGAAAAAAATACCGACAATAATAATAATATATAACATATATATATATATATATATATATATATATATATATATATATATATATATATATATATATATATATGCAGCTAATAAGAAATATCACCGCATTTTCCGCATTTGTTGAATTCGCCACTAAGTTTTTCAATTTTTCGAACAATTATTTTATCAATATTATTCAATTTTTATTTATAATCATTTATATTTATTAATACTGATAAAATAATCAAATAATATTTCTCAATAACTGCACATACGACAGTCTGAACCCATATATATATATATATATATATATAAAACCAACGAACAAAGGACTCGGTCTCAATGAGATTAGTGAGTGCACTGACACAGAAACGTTCCTAATCAGTACGATCAATGACTTCGTCAACAGGGCGTAAACTCATTCATCAAAAGCCGAAAATAGAGAAAAAGAACTCCAACGAGTAACTTATCTTCTAATTAATAATGGATACAAACTATCACAAATAAAAAACAATAATTCACCGCAAAAAACAACAAATTAACAATGAAAATACAAACGACAATAACAACAATATAAAAAACATCATAATTTATTATAAAAATAGTATGTCCTCATCATATAAAACAGAATAAAAAAATAATGAAAAAGATAATAAATAACAATGTTAAAGTTATAGATACAAACAGCTCATTAAAATTAAGAATTTACTACACGAACAGGAAAACATCATCTCTAATAATAAAAAACAATTCCAACACTAAACCTTCCTCGGATATGAAAAGTCTTTATGCAATTAGGCAATGAGCTATTTAGAAATTTAAATACAAAAATCGCCATAAATGTAAAATATTTTTCATATTCAAAAGATTCAAAGTTGAGTAATAGTCGCTAACATGATAATGAGAATGCAAAACAAATATTAATCGTATAAAACTGTTTTGACCACTTGGCAAGCAACTTCATATGAACATCTGGAACGTTACCCCGAAGTAAATTGCAGTAAAATTGCGCCAGACGCACACAACTACAAATTCAGGAATGAATAGTTTAAAATTATTCAGTGTACAAGATCTATCAGTCAAACTTAAACTCACTGTCTTGCAAATTTGAGGAGTTGTGTTTAATTCTGGGAAACTTACATGTTTCATCTGTAGTTGTTAATAATAGGGTTGTAATAAATGAGGATATGAATGAAAATACGAATTTTATTTTAAATGCTACTAAGTTTATTGATGTGAATGTCAGTCCCAGCATACATATGAATGCTGATGTGAGTGTTGGTGTGAACATTGATATGAATAATGCAATGGTACTTGATGTATGTGATGGTACAAACACTAATATGAATGACAATTTGAATGTGGATATAAATGAGGATATGAATTTTGCTATAGATAATGTCACAAATGTGGATGTGTATGATGAAATGAACTTTATTATAAATAATGTCATGAATGATGGCTCCATCACTAACATGAATGATGAGACCTATGTTGCTGGGAAGATCTCTAATTCTATGAACGTGCTTACTGATAGATCTTGTACATTGAACAAGACATATAACAAGACCGGACGTATCACTGATTTATACAGCTTTGATCGTAGTGGTAGTGGGATGTCACGCCGCATCAATATAGAGGCAAGGAGATGCCATTTATTTCAGGCTGCACGTATGCGTTCTCAAACGGCAGCTCCAGCTGTTCCAGTACAATCTAGAACATCCCCTAGATATTGAAACGATGTGATTTTCTTTACCTTAATGGCTTCAAAAACATTGCTATTTCAAATTAGTTGTTGTGGATTGATGCAAGCAGAACAAACAAAATTGGACATTTTAGATAAAGTTCCAATTATTTTTGAACAACGTTTGTGACACCTCTGGTTACACTGCTGTCACTTGATTGAATTGTTACCTACACCAGCTTTACGAACTGAACAGGGCCATTGTCCAGGGCTGTGGATTGGATGGGCTCACCCACTTTTGTATGTTATGAGATGTTCCAACCTCTTTTTAAAATATGTGTTCAGTAAACAAAACCCGTGACTTTCAGCAAACTCAAGGATGCGGTTGCCATCTTTATTCCGTTCTCCATAGCCAAAACCGCCATGTACGTTGTCAAAACCATCTGTTTTCTCTCCAACGTGGCCATTGAGATCGCCTCCAATCAATATTGTTTCAAATTTTGGTGTTGTTGAGATGGTGTCAGAGAACGCAGCCCAGAAGTCATTTTTTTATCTCTTCTGATTCGCCTGTCTGTGGTGCGTATGCAGAAAAAATAATCATTGTTTGCTTTTCTATGCGAAGCTTGATCCACATGAGACGTGAATTAATCCTTTTAATATCCAGTACTTCTTGGGCTATCGGTTCTCTGACAAAAATTCCAACACCATTTTTGCCCGTTTTTTGACCATTCCAGAATAGTTTATATTTTTTTTTGTCTGAGTTGACATGACAAACACAATTCGATTTCCATCGGGTCTCCTGAAGGCAGCACACAAACTATCAGAAATCGAACCAACAGACTAACATCCGATCGACTATAATTAATAGCCAAAAACCAAGAGCGAAACCAAGACCCCCAAAATATCAACTCGCTGCCTTATATATGTTTTGACTGCCATATCTACATAACCCTTTATATTCTATACTATATACTCCTTTCTCTACATTTTTCTATAATCTCCATGTACAGAACAACTCGTAGCAAGCGTCGCATATATGGCATAGCAAATAACAAAAATATAAATACATAGAAATGTTCATTTAAACATATAAATGCATATAGGTGGCACATTTCAAAGACGCAATTGTCACAATTTCACATATATAATAATGTTATTAAATCTATTGAATAATTAAAATTTATTAACAACAACCAATTTGATGCAAAAAATATTGAAAACAAAAGGAAACAAATTATAGGCTTTGTGAAAGTAGTAACACTGGCCTTGAGGATCAACTTCTTTAGAAATTTTTAGAGCATCTGAGTTAGCAAGATCTGAGTTGGCTGGAGATATTGCAAGGATCAAGCATGATTCTTTGCTGATAAACTCCATCAGCATGCTTCTTATTTGAACCTTAAATTTTATTATAAAGAAATGATTATATATATGATATAAATGATTATATTACACACACACACACACACACACACACACACACACACACACATATATATATATATATATAAATATATATATATATATATATATATATATATATATGACATTTTTATTTCATCAAATCAAACAGTGAAATCAGAAAAATGAAATCAATGAAAGGAAATGATCTGGAAATCGAAAAAAAAATCTGGACTTCTTGTACTGATCACCAGTGTCAATTTGTAATAATGATATATAAGCAGATTTAAACAAATAAAAGAATTCAAGGTACCCAAACACAATATAAAGAGTAATTCTAATAGTTCAAAACCATTCCGAAATATAAAACATAATTATAAAAAAATTCAATGTACCCAAACACAATATAATGTAGGTTAAAGATATTTCAAAGAGTAATTCTAATACTTCAAAAGTGTTTCGAAGTTTAAAACATAATAATACTTTGACTAACTTCTAAATTTTGAATCTTATCTTATGGAAATACCACGCCAGAAGCACATACACTCACTCACGCACACAAAAACACTCACGTAAACACACACCTGTTCATCCACACACACTCACACAAGCAACCACATTCACACACACTTAGATACACATAATGCTTACATGAACATGCTTTCCCTGATAACTAGATGGTGGTATCGGGATCTAAGTTTGTTAAAAAGTTACGTAGCTTCCTCTTAAAGAGTTGTAGGTTTTTGATTTCATTTAACTGAGGAGGAAGAAGTTCAGCCCAAATTTTTGGTCCAGTAAATTTAATACTTGATGAAAATAATTTAATACGGGTTCTTTGTGTGTAAAAAAATTGGGTGTGTCTTGTATGGGCAGATAGAATAGAATTGCTTGTTGTGTAAAGGTGGTCTAGAGGAGTAGGAAGAAGTTTATTAATAGATTTGAAAACAAGTATGGCTGTGAAATAATAATATATAAACCTTAATGGTAGAATATTGTTATGTACAAAAAAGGGTTTAGTATGGGCAAAAGGATTAGTATTAAAGATAAGAGTATTGAGCGTTTTTGAGAGAGCGTAATGTTGTACAAGTGACTTTTAGGACTGTTTCCCCATACAGTTATGCAGTAGGTAAGATGGGGATAAATAAAAGCGTAGTAAAGGTTTAGTAGAGCAGACTGAGAAAGTTTGTATTTTATTTTGTAGAAAATTCCAATTAGTTTATTGACCTTTTGGGAAGTTGATTGCAGGTGGTAGTCCCATGAGAGGTTATCTGTTATATTGATACCTAGGAATTATGTTGAACGAGTACGATTAATTGGATTGTTGTTAAGCAGCAAGTTTAGATCTTGGACTTGGTTAGTTAATATTTTGGGACCGAAAAATGTATAAGAACATTTGGAATGATTTAGTATAGTTTATTTGCCAGAAACCAGTTGGAAAATCCTGATAGTTCTTGATTGATGATGTCTCGGCAGTTGTTGATGCCGTCTGGTGTAAACAAAATGTTCGTGTCGTCGGCAAATTGTACACATTTGGCTAATGATGAGACGTTACAGAGGTCATTGATGTAGACTAGAAATAGAAAAGGACCCAGTATGGATCCTTGAGGAATTCCATTCTGGACATGAGTTTTATTTGATTTGAAGTAATCGATAGAAACATATTGAGAACGAAAGGAGAGATAGCTCACCAACCAATTGGAAGCGATTCCCCTCACACTATACCACTCAAGTTTTTTTTAGGAGTATGCTGTGGTCAATTGCATCAAATGCTTTTGAAAGATCCAGAAATAGGCCAACAGATAGTTTTTTGCTATTCATACCGTTTAGGACATGTTGAGTAAAGTCTAGGATAATAAGCTCCGTTGAATGCTTGGCCCGGAAGCCGTATTGGCTGTTACATATAATGTTGTTGAGATTGAAGAAAGAATTTAATCTGATGTACATTATATTTTCCAGAATCTTGGTAAAGGAGACAACAGAGATATGGGTCTGTAGTTATTTATATCATCCAGGAATCCTTTTTTATGGATAGGAATAATTCTGGATATTTTGAAGATATCTGGAAAAATTCTCCTTGATAATGATAAATTGAAGATGTGGATTAAAGGTAAAGTTATGGAATGGATTATGTTTTTTATTAGGTACATGTTAAGGCCATCATCGGAGTAACTGTTTTTGTTTTTCATTTTACGGACAATAGATAGTAATTCGCGTTCAGATACAGGGTTAAGAGATATGGATTGAGTTATAGTAGGACCTAAGAGTTTCATGGGGTCAGCCTTAGGAGGTTGAAAGAATGTTTGCTTGAAACGTTTGCAAAATGTTTGTTCGCAATCTCCTGTTTGTTGTCAACTGTTTTGTTGCCTACAGTGAGTTTGGATATGGATGAGTTGGGCGGTTTTTTGTTTAGTGCGCATCTTATCAAATTCCATTTGGCTTTGATGTCGTTGGGAGAATTACTGAGTTTATTTGTGTAATATTCTCGTTCTGTTTTTCTTTTAATGGTAGTAAACATGTTGCGGAATTTTTTATACTCAGAAATATTGTTTGGAGTATGATTACGGAGGCTTTTAATAAAGAGCTTGTTTTTTTTATTGGATAGCTTTTTTATATGTGTGTTGACCCAGCTTTTGTTTTTTGGTTTAACAGGTAAAAATGGAGCTAATGTATTTATCGCTTTATTGAGTATGGCATATAGCCGTGATAAGGAATCATTAACATTGTCTACCGTGATCACTGACGTCCAGCCTTGAGCAGATAACGAATGGTTGATGTCATATAAAGATTTTGGAGTCAGAAGTCTGGAGTATTTTTGTATTTTTGCAGAATAATTAAGTTTATTGAGGTTAGATGCAATGGTGAAAATGGGAAAATGGTCTGAGAAGTCAGATAAGACTGTTCCAAAAAAATGAGTAGTAATATTATTTGTGTAGATATTGTCAATTAACGAGGAAGAGGAAGACGTAATGCGTGTGTCAGAGGTTATAAGTGGAGAAAAGTTGTACGATGATAGAAGGTTGGAAAAAGCTGATACATGAGGATCAAAAAAAATTTATTAAGATCAAGATTGAAGTCACCGATTAAATAAGATTTATTGGGAGGTTTTAGTGTAAGTAAGATAATTTCAAGTTTGCGTAGTAGTAGATCAGGGTTGGAATTAGGCGGTCTGTAGATTGCAATTATCTTAAGTTTATGCATATTAACTGCGATGTCGACGGAAAGAAAGTCAATAACTTCATCATCCAGTACGGCATCGCAGCATACTGAATAGCTGATTCCCTGTTTGATGAAAATCCCGACATCACCACCTTTTTTGTTAGATCTGTTTTTAAAAACAAAGTTATAGTTAGGCATATTAATATATTTAACAGAGTCATCATTTAACCAGGTTTCAGAAATTATGATAAGTGGAAAAAAATTTGAAAGGGAATCGTTTAGTATTAACAAATCTGCCATTTTTTTGAACAAACTACGACTATTGGCATGAATAATAAATAAATTAGTATCAGTTTTAAAGAAATTGTTAAGTATGAAGTTGTTTAAATTGTTTATGGTGTAATTTTGAAAGTTATTGATAAAAATGTCTGAAAAATTTATACTGTTATTGGATGGGTTGACAGAAACTTAATCAGAAGATGTATCGCTGGAATCAGGCAGGTTAGTACATGGAGAGTTGTTTGTGTTTCTATTCATGATTGGTTATTTGTTGCTTGGCCTTTTTTTTCATAATGCAAAAAACGCCATTCTCGTTCAATTATATTTTTGGGTATGATGTTTGGATCGTTGATTTTAGGAGAATCTATTTTGTCAATGCAGACACGAAACATTGAAGAATCCTGGTTGTCACGATTGGTGTAGGGAACTTTTGATGGCTCGGTATTTTTAAATACCGGGTAACATGATAACACGTTAATCCCGCATGATGATAAAAATTCGCTGACATCGCCGGCTGAACATTTCTGGATGTTACTCATTGAGTAGACACGTTTGTTGTACAGAACTTTATCGGCTTTTAGTTTGCAGTCAACTTCTTTTTTACCAATAATTTTTGGAGCTGAACGTTTCATTGAATTTGTATCTGCTTTGATGTTGCTGTTGTCAGTGTCGCTGTTTAATGCGCGCGGGCGTTTGTTTTTTCTGGTGACAAGGCTGAACGACGAGTCTTCGGTCGGGGTTCTTGAAATATCGGACCACAGGGGTTTTCCAAGCTGGACGGCAGAGTTGACAAGTGGAATATTCGGCATAACAATAGGTTTAATATTTTCCGAGTTGGCAGTTTTACAACAAATTGCAGTAATGATATCCTCGTTTGTGTAAAAGTCAGATATGTTGTTTATAAAAGTTTCATTATCAATTAATTCAACATTATTGTTTACGAAATAGAGCAACTCGTTAATCACAACAACACGTGCCGCCATCTTGCCGGAAATATGTATGTAAACACCATATATATATATATATATATATATATATATATATATATATATATATATATATATATATATATATGTATATATATATATACACACACACACATATATATATATATATATATATATATATATATACAATATATATATGTATATAAATTAGGTGTCAGATAGACCAGCCAATAAAGAAATCTGACACCTAATTTCCAATCTAAGTTCATTTTCACAAAGTGAATATTCCCTATATAAATCAACTTCCACTGATGATGGATTCATTCGGAATCGAAATACGGTAGAATTTATAGAATATTTATATATATATATATATTATTTTTAGTTTACAAATTTTATTAACCACAAAAAAAATGGCTTGGAGACCATACAAGCTTATTAAGCTTTTTTATAGGCCACCAAAAAGAAAAACAGAAACAATTTAAAAAATTATCAAGCACATATACGATAACATAATTTGTTCGTTCAACTGTTTGACACAAAAGCATAGCACACTGCACATAAATTAAACGTTCGTAAAACAAAATGATAATGAAATGAAACTAAAATTTGATCCTTGTAGTGTTATCTATAATGTGTAAGATCATAAAACAAATTATAATTCAAACTAAGGCCAATAAATAAATACTAACATATATTCATGAAATGCATTCAAAAAATAACAGCAATATAATTAAAATGTTCAATCTTATGATTTTTCCTGAACAAACAACAAATTGAATTCAAACTAAGTCCAAGAATAAATATCAATATACATTCAAGACATACATTCAAAAACCAACAGCCATAATTACAGTTAAATCATATAATGCACATATCAAGTAAAATTTCTAAAATTACTGGTATCATTCGTAAATTGAGGTTCAAGCTTAGTTTTGATGTCACTAAAAAATTATATTACAGTTTAATTTATCCGTATTTAGCAGATGGCGTAATGTTATGGGGTAATAGTTGCACGACCCATCTTAATTCTTTGAGATTGGCTTATAATAGTTTTGTTAGATGTCTTTTTTTCTTGAAAAAGTAGGACCATGTCTCAAGTTTTTACCAAGAAGCTAATCTATTAACAATTAAACAAATATATAATTTTGGTCTGTTAAAATTTATGTTTAAATTATATAAAAATTTATTGCCTCCTAATTTGTCCATTCATTTTAAAGCTCCTGATAAAAAGTTACGTGTTTTAAGACAAATGAATGATTATGTTCAACCTTACCCTAGATTAGTAATTTATAAATTATCTATTTTCTCCTCCGGGATTTCACTTTGGAATAGATTACCTTCAAAGTTCAAATTATCAAATAGCATTTTTGATTTTTCTAATAAAATATTATTATACGTTTCCAAATAATCTTTGTTATTTCAAATTTATTATGCTGATATAATATGATTAAACATTTTTAAGTTTATTGCTGTTGGTTTTTGAATTTATGTCTTGAATGTATATTGATATTTATTCTTGGACTTAGTTTGAATTCAATTTGTTGTTTGTTCAGGCAAAATCATATGATTGAACATTTTAATTATATTCGGTGAAGCTGCTGTTTGAGTTTTGTTGTCATCGGCCACATCTATACACCAAAATTAGAACAGAAAGTACAGCTGTGTTGTAAAGCTCAGAGCGCAGCGGTAGAGGAATGCTACGCCGCATCAGTACCAAGGCAAGAAGGTGCTATATGTCCCACGCCGCACGTATGCGTCCACGAACGGCGGCATCAGCTGTTCCAGTATAATCCAGCATTTCTCCCAAATACTGAAATGAAGTAACAGTTTTGATCCCGTTAATCGTATCATGGCCAATGACTAGAGACCACAGGCTCAGCGGTACCAACGGTGATCATAGTTTTTGTTTTGTAAAGGCTTACCTTCAGCTCGTGTTTGGCAAGCTGAGTAGTCCAGACCACAAACTTTCTGGCTGCGTCTTGTTCCGAGGCCGCCGTCAGGACGATCATCTGCATAATCACATTCCATATGTTATCTGAGCGTATCGGTTCGGTTATTTCTTCCATCACCGTGATGAAGAGCAGGGGGCTGAGTATTGATTCTTGATGGACGCCGACGTTAATATCAGATTCATTCGTGTTACCGGCTGTTGTGCTGACCAGAGTTTTTGTGTAAGAGTACGTTGCCATAATCAGCCGAACCAGATATTCGAGAACAAGCTGTCTACGTAAGACTCCATCTGATTACCACACGAGGCACTCTGTCAAAAGTCTTTTCCAAGTCCACAAAGACATGGAACAGTGTATTTTTCCTGTAGTTGACGAATGATATAGATAGCATCAATGGTGGATCTCCCTGCCATGCAGCCGTACTGGTAACCACCTATTGAAACGCACGACAACAGTCTTCTCTCATATACTGCCGATATGTTGACGACATATTTGTTAAATATGAAGATGATGATTAAATAGCAAGACTTCTACAACGACTAAACTCATCAAAATGAAAGTTTACTGTGAAAAAATAAATTAACAATAAACTACCATTCCTAAACGTAGTAATGCAAAATGTGCAAAATGAATTTAAAACCCCAGTCTACACCAAAGCAACAAACAAAGGTTTATGCCTCAATAGCAATAGTGAATGTTGTCTAACATATCTAGAGAACACGATTTCTGCACTATTCTGATATAGAAAGCAGGAGAACAGAACTAGATAGAATCACTAAACTACTCATTAATAATGGATATAAAAATTCCATGATCCAGAAAATAATAGAACGCAAAGAACAAAAAATCAGCAACAACAACAATGCAACCAACAATAGTAACAAAAACAACATAGTATTATATTATAAGAATCACATGTCAACCGCTTTCGAACAGGATACAAAAATCATGAAAAGGATCATAAAAAAACTTCCAAGCAATCAACGAAAACGATAGTATTAAACTACAAATATATTACTCCAACCAAAGAACGTCATCTCTTGTGATAAAAAACCACTGCACTAGTAAACCAGAATCGATGATGGATCATAGCCATCTAATATATTTGTTCAAATGTAATATTGGTGAATGTGGGCACCATAACTCTGAATATATTGGTATGACGATGGCCAAGTTATCGAGAAGACTCAAAATGCACGTACAAACAATGTCTACATTTTTCATTATTTTCATAGGCTTCACGTGTTTCACGCTATCAAACGCTTTGGAGTAATCGACGAAACATATGAACAAGTCTTTCTTCATTTCAATCGCTCATTCACTGATCATTCGTAGAACAAGAAACGCTATATATATATATATATATATATATATATATATATATATATATATATATATATATACGTTGGTACCTCTGTACAAAAGAGAAGGATTCCAGGTGTTCCAGGATGCTTGGAACACACATCACAAAATACATGGCCAATGACAACCAAACTCGAACAACAACTCTACCGAACCGATATGAAAATGCTCCGATGGATGCAACTGATTAGTCTGAAGGATCACATCAAATCAACCAAAATCCTGCGTCGTGCTGGTTTAGATGATATAAAGAACGAATGCCGGCAACACCGTCTGCGGTGGTTTGGTCATGTCAAACGAAGTGGAAACAGTGCCATAACTTCTTTTGCAGATGTTGAAGTATCTGGCACACGTCCCAAAGGCCGTCCAAAGAAGTCCTGGTCGCAAACAATCGAGCAAGACATGAAAACTCTAAATTTAAATGAAATGGATACAACTGATCGCCTAATTTGGCGCAAAAAATTGATGGCAAAAAAGACAACGTCCTACCTCGGGAGAGCTGGGTCTCTGGACGCTAAACGAAGATTGATTTATTTCAGGATGCGGAAGAAGTGTGCAGAGAAACGTTAGTTGGAAAAAAATTTGGAATATGGCTCCTTTCCGTTTGGTTTTCTAATAAGAGAAATGTACGACCAGCTGCCAACAAAAGCAAATTTGATTCGGTTGAATTTGTCGGCACAGAACAACTCTGTAAGATTCTGATTTTTTAAAGAATGAAAAAACAAGATAGATACGTGTTGGAGGTGCTGTATTATTTTGGATTTCTTTTAGGAGCGCTAAATTAATAAGGTTATTTTGCTTATGCAATTGGCAAGTTTATTTAAGTGAATGTCGGAATGTCCCACCCTAGGGAGCAATTACGTCCAGGGAGTGCTAACGTTTCAACAGTCCATAAACTTCAAATGAGTTAATATTAAAACTGCTTTTTGGCCACGCCAACATGCGTGATTTTTATTTAAAATAATTAAATAAAAAAATGTTGTCTGCATTTTTCCAAATTTAAAATAAAAGTAATTTAACCTCAATATCTGGAGGTTGATCGCCAACAGGAACTTTTGTCATACCAGGAAGATCAATCAACGTTAAATTCAAAACTGTAATTAAAATATATGAAAACGTTATGTGTAATGTTTTGTTTGTTCATTTATTTTAGGGAGCGCTTTTGAGATCTTTTTTTTGTAATTAGCGCTGTACAAATTGACTTGTAATAATATATATATATATATATATATATATATATATTTATTTATTTATTTTTAATTTTTTTTTTGAAGACTTGTCGAATCAACTAACTGAATTGTTGAATCAATGGGATTGTAAAAATTATGGTCTATTACCAACATATATATTTATATATATGCAGTCAGACCTTCGTACAACGAACATGATGGCTCCAGGGTAAATATTCGCTGATTGATTTCGTAATAAATAACTTGTTCAGGAAAAATTTTGTATTCCTTAAAAAGTTTTTATATGCTATATATTTGTGAAAAACAATCTTTTAAACAATTATATTTATAACAAAAGAAATAATAGTATAACTGATAAAAATATGAAAAATAACATATTATTATATGTATGTAATTTTTGTAATTATTATACTGATCCTGGGCATGACATAAACTGCATCCACGCTGCCTTGCGTGCTTTTGAGCGAAAGACTAGGCCCACCGCTTATAACTGGTGGTTGTCGTCAGGATGGGTGTGCGGATGTAAAAACTTTCCCCAAATTACTCTTATGCCATCACAAAGAAAAACAACGACCCCTAGTCCCCAGCAGGCCTTAAGTGGTCAAGGGGTGCCAAGAATCCCTGGGAAGTATGCAATAGCGGAGGGATGTTGCCGAATAATTCAGAATGGCCCCTCTATGGTACTGAGACTTGGAATGCTCAATGTGGGATCGCTGACTGGCCGCAGCATGGAAATTGCAGAAATGCTTGAGCGTAGAAGGATTGACATCTGCTGACTTCAGGAAACCCGATGGAAATCGAATGGTGTCTGTCATGTCAACTCAGACAAAGAAAAATATAAACTATTCTGGAATGGTGTTGGAATTTTTGTCAGAGAACCGCTAGCCCAAGAAGTACTGGATATTAAAAAGATTAATTCACGTCTCATGTGGATCAAGCTTCGCATAGAAAAGCAAACAATGATTATTTTTCTGCATATGCACCACAGACAGGCGAATCAGAAGAAATGAAAAATGACTTCTAGACTGCATTCTCTGACACCATCTCAACAATACAAAATCTGAATTCTGATTGGAGGCGATCTCAATGGCCACGTTGGAGAGAAAACAGATGATTTTGACAACGTACATGGCGGTTTTGGCTATGGAAAACGGAATGAAGATGGCAACCGCATCCTTGAGTTTGCTGAAACTCACGGGTTTTGTTTACTGAACACATATTTTAGAAAGAGGTTGGAACATCTCATAACATACAAAAGTGGACCATCAGCCACGCAAATTGATTTCTTCGCTGTCAAGCAACAACACCTAAAGCTATTCAAAAACGTCAAAGTTATACCTGGCGAATCATGTGTCGCCCAACATAGACTCCTTGTGGCAGACCTGGTTGTCGAACTGTCAAAACATAAGTCTAAACAAATGCCTCGGAGAATCAAAACGTGGAAGCTGAAAAGCAATATTCATCGAGAAAAATTTTAGCAGATTGTCGCCATTCAGTTAGACCACCAATCGCAACCCAGTACAGATAAGAGTACATACAAAACAGTTTTGATAAACGCTGCAACTACAGTTTGTGGGAAAACT